GGGCTAGCTCAGGCCAAGCGCGGTGGCTCAAGCCTGTAATCCCAGCACTATGGGAGGCCGAGGCAGGTGGATCACAAGGTCAAGAGATCGAGACCATCCTGGTCAACATGCTGAAACCCCATCTCTACTAAAAATACAAAAAATTAGCTGGGCATGGTGGTGCGGCCTGTAGTCCCAGCTACTCAGGAGGCTGCAGCAGGAGAATTGCCTGAACCCAGGAGGCGGAGGTTGCGGTGAGCCGAGATCGTGCCATTGCACTCCAGCCTGGGTAACAAGAGTGAAACTCCATCTCAAAAAAAAAAAAAAAAAAGAAGATAGGCTAGCTCTGCAGGCCTAATCACAGCATGCTGAATACAGCGAGAAGTGTGTACAGTGTGGTGGAAATCTGCTCAGAGAGTAACCTTACACATTCTCACTGCTCGCATTTAAAAAGGTAGCTGTGTGTGGTGATGGATGTCTGCATTAACTTGATTGTGGTAAACATTCCTCGATGTATATACTGTACCAAATCATCACACTGTGTACCTTAAATCTACACAATTTTCCTACTCTTAAAGTTTATATATATGTGTGTGTATATATATATATATATATATATACACACATCTATATACACACACACACATTTTACTTGTCAATATACCTCAATAATATACCTACTAAGTATTCATAAAAATTAAAAATTATATTTCAATAAAGCTGGGGGGAAAAAAGATTCTAAATTTTCCAAACCATCTTTCATTCTCACTCTCTATGTTCCTGTCCTCTCCTCGTCTGTCATTCTGAGTAACATGTTAACGCAGTGGCCAGGAGGGTTTCAGCAGAAGCTGAAGTGTGCACCTCCTACTTGCTTCACAGTGCTCAATCCCAAAAACGGTCCAGGAAATATAAACAGCCCCGCCCCACTGGTCCAGTCGAGCACCTCGAGGCGCAGGTGTGGCAGAGGGAGAGCAACCACCTCCTCTGACGACAAAGGCACATCTTCAGGGCACCCACTCTGCTGGTCAATGTGGCCAGCACAGCTGCCCAAAGAAGCTGTGGAACCAGGCAGCTGAGGTCAGGAATCGGCCCCATCGCTCCTGGAGAGAGGGCGTCCCACCCGGCAAGAGTGGCCCAGCATGTGGGAAGCAACATCAAGGAGAGAGAAGGGAAGGACGAGGCATAGTAAGACAAAGAGGAAAAGTACACCCCTAGGACACAGGGATGCTCAGCTGTCAGAGAAAGGCGACTGTGCGTATCTGTAGCATGTCTTCTAACCAGAAGTATCTGTAGCATGTCTTCTAACCAGAAGAGTGTTTTAGAATTATTTTTAAAAACCCACAAACCTACAGATCTGTGCATTTGCTGCCACAGACGATGCTTTTAGGGCACTTAGGAGTAGAAGGAGTTAGAGAAGGGAGCAGAGGAGGCAGTGCACTGAGCAGGAGCAAACCCTGGCAGTGCGGCTTCACTGCTCCAAGAGGCTGCTTCTGGAAGGACCCTCCCCCATCCCACACAGTGAGAGTCCATCTGGGGGTGCTGAGAGCTTCCAGAAACCGAGTCAGCAGAAGCCCTGGCCAGCCGTGTGTGACTCCACCCTGAGCTGTGAGCAGAGCTCCGCAGTGACCCCCCGACAGTCTTTCCTAAACACAGCAAGGAACTGCTGAGGAACTAGCAAAGGCCGTGCCTCGACACGCACAGCCCGAGGGGAGTCCGCAGGTGATGACCCCAGGCCGACCCGGACAGTATTAGAATGAGGCTCTCATAAGGAACTCCTTACATGTCTCCAACAGGCTCTCTCCAGCTTTTGTAAATAAAACTTTATAGGAACCAGCCACGCCTAGTTGTTCAACACGGTCTTCGGCTGCTCTGGCAGAATTGAATAAATGCAGCACAGACCATACGGCTTGCAGAGCCAAAATGATTCACCATCTGGCCCTTTACAGAAAAAGTTGGCCAACTCCTGGTCTGATATCACCACAGGGGAAAAAAAACACTACATCAGCTGTTACCTGGCAGGCTAACGCACAGAAATGGGCATTCTTTTTTTTTTTTTTTTTCTTTTTTTTTTTTGAGACGGAGTTTCGCTCTTGTTGCCCAGGCTGGAGTGTAATGGCGCGATCTCGGCTCACCGCAACCTCCGCCTCCTGGGTTCAGGCAATTCTCCTGCCTCAGCCTCCTGAGTAGCTGGGATTACAGGCACGTGCCACCATGCCCAGCTAATTTTTAGTATTTTAGTAGAGACGGGGTTTCACCATGTTGAACAGGTTGGTCTCGATCTCTCGACCTTGTGATCCACCCGCCTCGGCCTCCCAAAGTGCTGAGAATACAGGCTTGAGCCACCGCGCCCGGCTGAAATGGGCATTCTTAAGCCTCAATATTAAGCTTCTATCTAGTCATCAATACTTTAGAAGGAGGCCCCTTTCTCGGGGGCTATGGGAGAGGCAGTGGTGCCCACCAAACACTACCCTCGTGGCTTCCAGTGCTGGTGGGAGGCTGGACCACATGACAGCCATGGAGGAGGGGTGGAGCAGGCCGCCAGCTGAATGGTGATGTGTTCCAGAAGGGCAGCCACAACATAGTGGCAGAGCCTACTGCTGACCACACCAGCTAGGAACCACGTGCAAAGAAATAAACCTCTGCGGCTAAACATTGAGATTCTGGCTTAATTTTTCCAGTTAACATATTCTGGTCTACTCTGACTGTAACTTAGAAAGGTGGCAAAGGAGGTGGTCTCCTTCGTGTCTCTCATTTCCCTCCACGGGGTACACAGCTCAGCTACATGACAAAGGAGGAAGCATGGCCAACACTAGGACATTCAGTCCTTCCACCTCTCAACCCTACTTGAATTTCAAATCACTTGCAAGGCAGTCGTAACACTGGAGAGGTCCTATACAAAAAACCAAGATGGCTGATGGAGGACAGGATTTATTCTGCACAAACTTGACAGCCAGGGCCAAGCTGTACCCTCCTGAAAGCCACAGAGAAGAAATGATTATCCTGGTGACAAAGTGGTCAGGGACAGGGTTTCCCTCTTTGAAGAATAATATTGCTGGCTGCGGTGGCATGTGCCTGTGATGCTGAAGCAGGAGGATCGCTTGAGCCTGAGAGGTTGAGGCTGCAGTAAGCTGTGATGATGCCACTGCACTCCAGCGTGGGCGACAAAAGGAAGAATCCTCTTCCCTCCACATTTCACATAATTTTCAGTGTGATATGGTGGGAAAAGCATGAGTTTTCAAAGACATGGAAAATTGACTTAAAAGGCAACCATGCTACTCTGCAGCCTTGTGATCTCACCAGCACGTAACCCAGGTATCTTTCGCCACCTTTTCCCCAACTCTGGGGCTCAGTGTCATTATCTACTAAATAAGGGGCTCCATCCACATGGTCTCCGAGACCACTGCTACTCCAAAACTTCTGTGAAGTCCAGGGAAGTAAACTGTCAAACAAGAAAATTTCCACCCCATCAGGAGCAATCTTTAACTGCTGGCAGTTTCCTCTGCTTTATGATGGGATTAAGATTGAACAGTGCTCGCCTGGTGCTTGCTTTCACTGATGAGAAGACCCAGTTAATGTCAGGCAGGATTTAAGAAGTGGAGAGGACGTAACATGCTATCTTTCTTAACTTTCATACCCCAGTCTCTTTTCAGTTTCCCTTTCTTTGTACTTTTTATTAGAAAAGTATTTTAAAATATGCAGTAAAAACTGACCTATAATTCGTTTACAACCACAAAAGTTACCTAAACAGAAAAAAATTTTAACAATAAAATTTCAAACTTTAAAACACACAAAAAAGAAAGTAAAAGTTATCCATCATTCCACCCCAAAGATATTTAAGAGTTTAGCATACATAATTCAAAAACCACGCAAACTATATTTTATATAAAATGAAATATATGTAAATTTTACAAGTTGCTTTTTTACTTAATATATAACTGTAGCTATCTTTTCATGTGAATTTATATTGAGTCACCTAATCTTTTATAAAGCTATATAGTATTCCAGGGTACAGGTGAAGTAATACTGATGCTCTCTGTTGAGCCTGATTCCCTCCTCTTTACAATTCAGCTACCTAAGTCTGAATAAGGTGAGTGAAGTCATGACAGTGAGAGCTGCTGGCATGACTCACTCAAGCAAAGGTTAATTAATTAAAGATGAAGGAAGCCTAAATGGCCATCTCCTTCTGCTCACAATCTCTGGCTGTCAGTGAGATTTCTTTTTACTCAATAATCAAATAGACTAGATTTTTCTCATTCCAGGTTTCAAAATTCCCTGCAATCAAAGAACTCTGAAAAAAAATACATGAGCATATTCTGTTTAACTGTCCCATTTTGGGCTCTACTTCTATCTGACAACAGCACATCTGCACTAAACCCAAATATGCATGAAACAAAACCAATGGAGCTTACAGGCAGCATGGGGGAGGGTATCACTCTTACTTTCAATCAATATGTGTGGCTGAAACTGTCCAGCTTAAAATATATCTTGTCAGAAAATATGTTTACAATACTTAAATACTTCTAGTTGGCCAGGTGCAGTGGCTCACGCCTATAATTCCAACACTTTGGGCGGCCAAGGCGGGTGGATTGCCTGAGCTCAGGAGTTCAAGACCAGCCTGGGCAACATGGTGAAACCCTGTCTCTACTAAAATAAAAATTAAAAAAAAAAATTTATCCAGGCATAGCAACATGCGTGTATTGTCCCAGCTAGCTACTCAGGAGGCTGAGGCAGGAGAATTGCTTAAACTCAGGAGGTGGAGGTTGTAGTAAGCCAAGATCTCTCCACTGTACTCCAGCCTCGGCGACAGAGCAAGACTCCATCTCAAAAAAAAAAAAAAAAACTTCTAGTTAATTGAGTCATTTTCCGTTTTCTCTTATAATTATACTGTCTTGAATAAATCCTATAAAACAGAAGGTAAAATAGGAACATCTACTAGTAATAGACAGTAATACCCTCTTCTAAGAATTATGGGCCTTTAGCTGTGGAATGAGATGGAAGTACCTTACCCAGGCAGCTTATACCTTATACAGTGGACGCCGCACATCGATGGGGCAGTTCTGTATTACTTCATCAACAACATCCGAGATGGATTCCATGAAGTCTGGGTTGGCAAACTGAATTGTGTATCAATATAAAGAAACATTACACATTTCTCTCAAATAGAACATGAAAACTTCTGTAAAGTAACTTTAACAAATACACAATTTATTAAAACAAACAATTCACATTGGAATGAAGGCTATGTCAAATGAGTCCCACGTGACTATGTGTGCGTGGGGTGCTGATGACAAATTTCTCCTCCTGAGGTGAAATGTGTGGACTTAGTGAAGAAAAAATATCCAGCAATAACAAAGACAGACCATCCCCACATCATGAATACACAGTGACTCAGCCTAATAAGAGAAGTGGGAAGCATGTGCATGATCTGTGTGAAGTGCAGCAGGAAACATGAGTGTATATCATTTGACAATAGTGTTAGGAGAAAATTAGGATATAAGGAAAAAAGAAACAGGTTCAATGAAAAATTAATTAAACTTGGTCTAGAAGATGGGGGAAATGTTTTGTTCAATGAGAAGTGTTTGTTTAAAATGAAACGAGCCACATGATAATCATGTTATTTAATACAAAGCCTTAGATTCAATTCTGTAAGTTAAATAAGCTAAAGTATAACTAATTCGGCTCAATTACATTTCCTTTGAAATATTTTAAAAATCAAGGAAAACTTCAAGTGCCATCTCAGAGGAAGGAGGAAGACATTAAGGTGCTCACCAGCTGTTCTCTGGACATTTGACACATTTTAAATCAATACTATTAAAAGTGAGCATTCACTAGATTATCACAGTTATTATTTTATTCATCAGATTACTAGTGAGGTATACATTCTGTGCTGTTTCTCTGTACAAAATAGTCACACACACATCTAAAAATAAGAAGCAGTTTATAACCTACCTTCTGAATAGAAACTGAATTAGCCAGGAAAATATACCAAAATATAAATAAAATGCATTATATGTAAATCTTAAAATGTGCCTCTTAATTACTGCTTTCTGCAAAAGTACTAATAATTCCTTATGACTGCTAGTTAAAATTAACATTTCTAATTCATAAGATCATCTAAATAACAGAAATGCTGGCCTTAGACAGAAGCTTTACCTAACCTGCAGCAGGGAACAGAGCAGGACCCACTGTCCAGGGTTAAAATTAGAAGTTAGGAAGGGCAATCACCAAAGACAAAAAGGTTATAGATTATCCCACTCTTATGCACAGGCAACCTCCATATAGTCCTTGAGATTAGCTACTTGTAATACTAGCATGTGACCACCCACAACCTTTGGAGATTACTTTCAATTCTATCATCTTCTACTGCTCCTGAACGTCTTCCTATACCTGGTAAAACCCATCCTTTACTATTAAAGCAGATAACCAAGTCTATGAAGAGGCAAACTGAACAATCTGTCAAGCAGACAATCTGTGCGGGGGACACAGGGAGAAGACCGAATGGCAGTCACCCTGCTCGCGGGCCCTTTCCTGGGAACCACTCTTTCTGCACTCTGGGTGGCAGTATCGCTCCATCCACACACTTCGGCACACAAAAAAAGAAACATCTTACCTCTGGATGAAAGAATATTTCAGGTCCCAGGAACCTTTCATAACCAACGTCTATAACGAACTTCTTCTGGTTGATCGCATTAATGCCCGTGTACTGTTTGATCCACTTCCGGGGATCCACATCATACTTGGCAAACTCCTTGACTATATCAGGGCAAATGTAACAGTATTTCTCCTGCATACACATACAAAGACGTTGCCAGGCATTAACAACTGCCCAGTGTCTCTGCCCTCAGACAAATAACCAGGAACCCCAGGCAGTAAGCACACCCCTGGAATCAGATCTCTACCCCCACTGTAACTCTAGTGTGGATGTGCTGTCAAGCCTCACATTCCACATGACTACACTTGGACTTTGGACAGTTAAGTCTGCTTTCTTGGCAACTGAGCTATTAATCTCAGCCTTGGTCTACCCAATTTTACTGCGATCCTATCTGACATGACATCTACAGGTGTCTATGAGCACCCTGTCTTGCCTTGTTCCTCTCAGGCGCCCCGTAAGGCCCGCCCTTGGCACCTCTCTGTTGTCCACACTGGACCAGGAGGTGCGTGCTACAGCCTCATCTACCAAGTGCAGCACCGTCCACACCCTCACGCCTGACTGCAGCGGCTTCTTTGGGTCCCGGCAGGCCACAAGCCAGGTGGCCACTATCAACCTGCTGGCTGTTACCCTGCTGTGGAGTCGGCCGCAGCACTTTCATCAGCTCCTCCGACACTACTATCGCTTTCAGGTACCGCACCTGGTTGATGGGGTATTCTAAGTCCCTCAATCAACACATATTTATTTTCTAGGCACTTCAGATACACACGTGAGTGAAACACACACAGATCCCTGCCGGGATGACACTCTAGCTGGGAGTCAGACAACAATACGCAACCATAACAAGTAAATGACATGGTAGGTTATAGAGTGACAGGTTCCGGGAAACAAAGGAAAAGCAAAGTCAGGCGGGAGGCCTGAAGCCGCGCTGCTGCGAGAGAACTCGCTGATGGTTCTCAGCAACAGGCAGCCTGAGGTATACACCATGTCTCCCGGTGTGACTGATGCTCTCGGACACCTCTGTGTTGATCATGTGTCCTTAAAGCTGACCTCAGCAAAGCTGCAGGTGACCCCCAGGTACTAGATGCTGAAAGTACGCTGCCTACAGGAAGAACCCGGCAGGCTGCCCAGCTGGCCCTCGACACACTGGAAGGAATGGCTCTCTCGGGGACCTCCGAAGATGTTCTTGAGGTATGAAGTTTAAAGTTTCCTAGCATCCCTGAAACATACTCTAATGCCATCTTCTGGGTATCTTTGATATACTCTAGCGGAATTTTAAGAAGACCGACAGGCAAAAAGTGTTACGCAACCCTGTGTTCCTTGATGACACAGACAGAGACAGGGCCAGCTGATTACAACCTCAAATCTACCAAGACTGGAGACAAAAGCATTTGGTTGTCCGCAGAGGCCTGGTCAACATCCTACGGCATCTCAATTTACGTAACTGAAATGCTTCCCTTGAAATGCTTCCAAATAGGTGGGTACAGAGTAGCAGGCTTAATGTTAAGGTTCAGGATTCATGCTGCAAGGGTGGTATGTTCACATTACACACTCCCTCAGGCCTGCTCAAGACCACAGAAGGCCATGCAGTAAGGGGAGGCAGTGGGACTCTAAACCACGCCTTTCAGGATCTGTTCCTTTAAAGACAGAAGTGAGGCAACAGGACTACCCCACACAGCAGGGACAAGGCAGCTGATTTGGAGGCTATAAGCAGAGTCTCTTTTACTCTCAGCCCTCACAGGGGGGTAACACACAGTCACATCAGGGACACCAGCTCAGATTTCAGGGTCCAAATGGGAACTCAGACAGCCCATGAGGAGAGGTAAGGCCCAACATGAGGACCGCTCAGCATTCCCAGTGGAAATAGGGAGGACTCAGACTCACTGAGGGCATCAATAACAGAAGGATCAATTCTTTCCCTTTTTTTTTTTTTTTTTTTTCTTTTTTGAAATAGAGACGAGATCTCACTATGTTGCCTGGGCTGGTCTTGAACTTCAGGCTCCAAGCAATCCTCCTGCCTCTGCCTGCCAAAGTGCTAGGATTATAGGTGTGAGCCACTATGAAGGGGCTCAATTCTGACTTAGATTTCTAACAGATTTGAAGAAGCAAGGGAGCTTCAAATAGCCAAATGTTCTACCATTGAGGAAAGGCAAAGAAAGGAGAAGGTAATCCCTTAGAAGATATTTTAGTCTAAAAAAGAATGTTTAATGATGCCTCAGGAAAGCTTCCCCCGAGATGGAAGGGACCACGTCTTCCCCCCACATCACCTTTTCAGCACTGAGAGCCCGCTCCCAGGAATCTCTGGTCACAGGTAAAGCAGGGCAGGTGGTACCCGACTGCAGAGCCTGCCCCATGCCAGTGCCTCCTGGCCTAAAAACACCTCGGGAATCATCTCTGATGCTTCCTTTCCTTCAACCAGCCTCAGTTATGAGGTGCTGAGATGGGAGGAAGGCAGTGAGGAGAAGGGTGGGTGTCAGGCTCACCCCGCTCAAGCTCCGCTACACTCAGAAACTGTGCAATATGGCCAGAAATCACACCCACACCTGTGGGAATTTTGTGTAACAGCTCTGGAGCCTAGCGTGGCAGTGTTCTGCTGCTGTGGTTGCCTCCTAATTCTAGAGCAAAGCATGGAGGCAGTGTGGGAGGAGCGCTCTGGTAGCTGAGGGCTCTTGCAGCGAGGCTCCAGCTGAAGATGTTGCCTCTGCACACTGGCGCGCTGCACCAGCTACCAAGCTGCTCTCAGTGACAGATGGAAACCTCAGAGCATCAGTTTGGAAGAAGTTAAGCTTTACATCTTCAGCCCACTTAACTCAAGGGGTAAAACAAATCAAGCCCCACACTCATGGGAAGGGGAAAGGAAGGAGAGGAGGAGCAGGGACGATGGCACCTAGGGGAAGTGTCCAGAACACCACCTCTCTCACCCCCAAACCAGCCGGTTTCCCGTCTGTTTTTACCTTAATGGCTTTTGCGGTCTCCAGTGACTGCTCAGGAGGGATTCCCACCTCCCTCTCCCTTAGCAGCTGTTGAATGAAATACGTAATATCTCTACCTGCAATCGGGATGTGTTTGATGCAGCTTCCAATTACATAACCTTCTGCCTAGGGAAGAAGAGGAGGCGGAACAGCTATGTTAGTGATTCCGTGGTGGAGAGCGGCCTGGACGCATCAGGTTTCCTGTCTCAGCCTCCCTGTCTGCCCTCATGGCACTAACAAGCATTTATGGAATCCCCACCCTCTGCAACCTCAGTACTGGAGGTGTTTCAAAATGACTGCGTATGCAATTCCATTAATAGTCAAATTTCTAGATTATTCCAATAACCTGACACTCTCCAAAAGCAACCAAAATGATGTGTTCATTAGGAATATGAAAACAAAAACCACATAGGATAGTTCACTTCCAAAAAGTAACACTGTCTGTGAGAACAGTAAACCCAATAGAATTTTTCCCTAACAAAAAGGAAGTTTTATTTCTATAAATTGTTACGCCAACTATAAATCTACTTATGTTTAAAAGTCACAATTTGGTTAATACACAGGGCTTAGATTGTAACAACCTAGATTCAAATCCCGGCTGCACATCTGCAAGTTTCACACGCTTCAGGCTCAACACATTTGTCCATAATATGAGGCAAACAATACCCTGCAGGGGCCAGTAACACAGTTCAGGTACAACTGTGTGTGTCCAGCACATAGCACTGGTTTTGGGGGTTCACAGCTTGTCACTCCACTGCCTCCCTGAGCCAGTGAAGGCATGTCTGTGAGGGGCCAGGAAAGGAGGGTGACCACCACCTGGGTCAATCAATGGCAGGGCCAGTGTCAAGTGTCCTCGGGCCCACAGCAATGATAGGCCCAAAGCTCCCTCATCAGCCTTCCTGTGGGCACACACCTGCCACAGGAGCCACAGGCTTGGACACACATCCCGCTTGTTGTACAGGGGAGGAGCAGGATGCTGACCATCAGAGTGGACAATGCCTACCACTGGATCATCCAGTAAGAGACACCCAGGTTTCACATTACAGCACATCACAGCTTCTATGCCATAATCCCCAAGTGAGACAGAAGGGAACACAGAAGTGACATGCTGACTTCATTTTACAGACGTATTCATTCTAATAATGGCACATAGTCACCAGTTAAGTTGCAAGGACAACTTACTGAATTCCTCCTATGCTTTTTTTCTGATGTACCTAACTTCTAGAAGCAAAAAAAGACTTAGCCTTTCTGCAGAGTCCAAGTATTCGCAAAGCATTTTAAGATGGAGATAAAAGATATGTACAATTAAAAATCAACTTAAACCCATAAAAATAACATTAGCTTTCTAACACATAAACTATTCACAGTTACAATATTCTATGCATTACATGTCGTATTTTCTAAAATACTGTTAAATATCAGCTCATGACAGTAGTAAAAATACTAAAACAAGATACATGTCCAACAACAGAAAAATAAATTATGTACTTCCTCAACATATTTTCACGGAATATTTAACCACAAGATAAAAAAATTAGGGTTAAATTAATATGCAAAATATAACTTTAGGATTGTATTGTTAGAATCCCAAACGAGACATGAGACATTCCAAATGTGTTTAAAATGTGTGGCTATGCGTGTGCACACACCTGTCTTAGAAAAAGAGCTTAAAGACTATAGAACTGGGGCCGGGCATGGTGGCTCACGCCTGTAATCCCAGCACTTTGGGAGGCCGAGGCAGGTGGATCATGAGGTCAAGAGATCGGGTTTTCATCCTGGTCAACAAGGTGAAACCCCGTCTCTACTAAAAATACAAAAATTAGCTGGGCATGGTGGTGCATGTCTGTAGTGCCAGCTACTCAGGAGGCTGAGGCAGGAGAATTGCTTGAACCCAGAAGGCTGAGGTTGCAGTGAGCCGAGATCACGCCATTGCACTCCAGCCTGGGTAACAAGAGCGAAACTCCGTCTCAAAAAAAAAAAAAAAGACTATAGAACTAAAAGTATAATATGGGTTTCTGGATGGGTTTAGGGGTAATTTAATTTCTTCAAATTTTTCTATTTTATCCAAATTTTTAATGACAGATGTAATATTTATAACTGAGGGAAAAACTGAACTAAGATACAATTAAAAATCTTTTCAAACAACTTTCTTAGTAGGCCTGGACACACTGTGAAATATATTTTTTATCCTAAGTCAGACATAAGAAATAGGCAAAGAACCAAAGGGGATGCAGGCCAGGGGCCCACAGGAGCCTCATCTTGGATCTCGAGCCCTGCTCTCTGAGGAAGCCGGTGGCCTGAGTTCGTGGGATGCTCCACACCCAGGGCACTGACTCTTCCCGAGTTCCATGGAAAGAAGTGCTGAGACTGGCTTCAAGGGGGCTCAAGTCAAGTGCACACTTCGCAGGGCAGAGTATACACCTCTCCTCCCACGGGAAGGGTACACAGGCAGGAGCACAAGCTATGGGGATGGGAGGTTGGCTTTTTTCTTCCTGACCGTAGGCACATTGATCATTAAGCCTGTCCACTGTAATGATTCCTAACCTTTAAGGAATTAAAGCATGAGTATATTAGTACAGCATCCCATCACCTTCTCAAAATGAAATGGTGACTATTTTTCCAACTAAAGTAAATAGGTTTTTTTAAATCCTAATTTGCATTTTAAAAGAGCTGTATGTATATGTGAATATATACACATACCCATAAGCGTATGCAGAAACATATCTGTAACATACAGAAGTAACTAGCAATGGTGGTTCCTAAAGAGGAGACCTCACAGGAGGAAGACAGGATGAGTCTGACTTTTCTCTGAATACCCTCTTCAGACAGTTCCGATACATTTTCCAAATAAATAAATTTTAAATAATTCCTTTAAATAGCCCATTGGACCAAAAGAACAATTCAGAGATCTCTTGAAACCCAAATTAGTAATCACTTCTCTAATATTTTGAAAATTAAAACTAAAAACTGGTATTGCAGAGCCTTCTGCACGCCAAAATTACACTCTCCCCTTCTTGGTTTTTAAATAAATGTTTAAAACAAGAAGCAATTTTTCCAAGCCTGAGCTTGTTAAAGCCATTCCCATCTTTTCGCAGACACAGATGTGCTCCTTCAAATGGACACACGCTGCACCAAACGGGACATCCAAAATGTCACCTATCTCCGAACATGGAAGAATCATAAGCCAGGAAAATGTTCTTGTTGATGTTAAACCCACAGGGATCAAGCAGAGGCTCTGAAGATCCAGAGACATCCTGGACATTCTTGACATTCTGACAGTAGAAATATGCCACTGAATTTAAAATTCCTCAAGCCAGAAATACTGGCCATCTTTTTCATTCTTTCCCATACAATTGGGTTTTTAAGACTTTTATTACCTTTTCTAAGTAAAACTATCATCTAAAATGTATTTTCATTACAGAAGGGTTTTTTTTTTAATTATTTCCGTCCTTACCTCAAATCAGGTGTTAAGCCTATAGAGAGTTACATATTAACTATCCTGCTTACCACTGGGATAACATGGGTGACTCCATCTCCGCTGTCAATGACTATCCCCGTTAACGTACGTTCACCCACTTGTCGAGATGTCCAAGACGCCGCCAAGGCCAGCACTGCCTGGGGAAAAAGACATGGAAACCACTTACTCGCACACGGGAACTCTTTCTCAAGCATCTGCCTGCTCCTACCAGATCCAGTCAACAAACTCTCTTAATATGTCTGAGTAGCTCTTTCCGTTTCCTATCCATCCTCTAACCCCTATCCCTCAAATTCCAGTTCCAACTTGGACAACTAACATGAAAACTTTGAATACTTAAAACTGTAGGAGTCAAGTTTTCAATAAAGAAAGCTGGCCGAGTGTGGTGGCTCATGCCTGTAATCCCAATACTTTAGTAGGCCAATGCAGGCAGATCACTTGAGCCAAAAGTTCAAGACCAGCCTGGGCAACATGGCAAAACTCCATCTCAACAAAAAACACAAAAATTTGCCAGACATGGTGGCCTGCATCTGCACCCCGAGCTACTTGGGAGGCTGAGGTGGGAGGATCCCTTGAGCCCAGAAGGTCGAGGCTGCAGTGAGCCATATGCACCACTGCACTCCACCCTGGACAACACAATGAGATCTTGTCTCAAAAAAAAAAAAAGAAAGAAAAAAGAAACCTAAAGCTTTACAAAGAAAAGCCAGTGAGAAAAATGTTTCATTATAGAATCACAAGATTTTAATTTCTAATTCACTGGTTTCCAGTGTGGACCACAGATTGGCAATGAGGTCACTTGTAGAGTTGTTTAAAATACAGATTACCAGGCCTCACACCCAGAAATTCTAATCTGGATGGTACAGGGCAATTTTTCAACCAAATAAAATTTTGCCCCGAAAGGGACATCTGGCAAAGTCTGGTACCATTTTCTTTGTTGGGGCAGGGAGGCTCAAGGTGGGGCTGCTGTCTTCTACTGGGCAGAGGCCAGGGATGCTGCTAAACACCCTGCAATGCACAGTGCACCACCCACAACAAAGGACTACCCAGCCCAAAGCACTGAGGGTGGAAAACCCTGGCCATAGATGAAGCCCGAAATCTGTACTTTAAAAAACATTCTCCAGGTAAACTTGATGCACAGACCACTCTGAGAACCACCAGTCTTATGTCTCCAATTCCATGGAATATAAATAACTTGGGCAGGGGAAGATTTGGGGTTAAATGCATTTGGAAGTGCTAGAATACATAGATTTCAACACCGGAAACCTCAGAGCCTGGACTGTGCTGACAGGCACTGTGAATCAGCACAAGAAAGCTGCAGGATGTAGCACCACCCAAATTCATTTCTCTGTGGAACTCTTCCTCCACCTCCTCCTTAGAAGTGACTAGTATTATGCAGAAAACATTGGGGCAACACGCATTTTATTTATCCCATAAATTTCAGTCAATTCCCTTACATAAGGTGGCAGGCAAATAATGACCAAATGCAACCAAAAAACATCACACCAAAAACCCGCAGCTTCAGAACAAGCTCTGCAAGCTCATGAAAACACAAGGTCCCTCAGAAGCAAGACAGTACACCAGGACGAATAGGAGCCCAAAACCCAAAAATCAGATAGGGGAAACCTCTAAAGGCATTTGTTTTTCTGATCAAAGTAAGTCAAAGATGCCAAAAGAAACAGCACCCATATCTTGTCACTCTATCAGATAAAAATGCATTAGACTTTAATGCATGTAAAAAGAGCCAGATGACGTCTATACCAATGACATAAATATAAAAAGAGAAGTCATGGGACATGTCCTCTATGGTCCTGGATGGCGTGGGGGGGGGGGGGGGGCGGGGTGGTGCGAGGAGCAGGCGGAGGGAGTGAGAAAAGGAAGAGCGCACAGCACAGTCTTCCGGCGGAGAACCTTGGGAGTCACCATCTCTTCCACTACTAGACAGCTCAGGGGCTTTGAGAATCACAAAAATATCTTTTTACCTGAACTGCAATGTAGAGTCCTGGTACATTAAATGATTCAAACATAATTTCTGCAAGATACTCTCTGTTTTCTGGTGTATTGAGTGGAGGTTCTGTCTGTAAGAAAACATTCACTATATTTAGTGTTTACCCAAATTTCATGTAAATACATCAGAACCATAAACAGGTTAACCTGAAAGTATGTTAGCAAGGACATTATACACTTCCCTAATTTTACAGCTAGAGGATGCCTGAAGTGATTAAAGAAATCTGGCTGTGAGCCTTAAAAGCTTTGAGGCAGCAGAGTAAATATCTCTCTGAAGGCTTCTGTTCTTATTACCCACCCAAAATAAGAACAAGTTACAGAAAAAGAAACTCTATCTTTGATAACATAACACCTAAACACCCTGAAACTGAATATCCCAGAAGCAAGCTGCCAAGGGTTGTGAAAACACAGCCAAGACAAATGAGGACACCAAAGGCGAACTGGTGACTTCAGGTCTCAGCACAGGAGAGCTGGAGGAGCAGCAAGCCTTGGCTCGGGACAGGCCTGGGGTGAGAAGCCACAGGGTGGCAGAGCAGGCAAGGTCAGGCCAAGCACCCTTCAGTCCAGTGGCAAAGGAAGAGGCCAGGGCAGAGCACAGCTTCCCCCAGACACTACCCAGGACCTCCCCAGCCTACCCACACGCCATTAGTCCAGGAAGAACTCTGCTCATTCAAAGACGAGTAAGCGGCACAAAGAAGCCAGTCAACAGTCATATAAAAATACTCAAAGAAAAGGGACAAAGAAAATAGGAAAAACAAATGGCAGACAAAAAAACACATACCTAGGGCCAGGCGTGGTACCTCACACCTATAATCCTAGCATTTTAGAAGGCTGAGGAGGGAGGATGACTTGAGCCCAGGAGTTTGAGACCAGCCTGGGCAATACAGAAAGACACCACCTCCATGAAAATATTTAAAACTCAGCCAAATGCCTGTGATCCTAGCTACTGGGGAGGCTGAGGTGAGAACATTTGAGCCTCGGAAGTGAAGGCTACAGTGAGCCAAGACTGTACCACTACACTCCAACTTGGGTGACACAGCAAGACCAGAAAGGGAGGGGAGGAGGGGAGGAGGGGAGAGAATATCCGGAAAAATATTAAAACAAAGCAGATAAAAATTCCCAAGAATTTCTAAAGACATTTCCAAGAGCCGGACACGGTGGCTCAAGCCTGTAATCCCAGCACTTTGGGAGGCCGAGGCAGGTGGATCACAAGGTCAAGAGATCGAGACCATCCTGGTCAACATGGTGAAACCCCGTCTCTACTAAAAATACAAAAAATTAGCTGGGCATGGTGGCGCGTGCCTGTAATCCCAGCTACTCAGGAGGCTGAGGCAGGAGAATTGCCTGAACCCAGGAGGCGGAGGTTGCGGTGAGCCGAGATCACGCCATTGCACTCCAGCCTGGGTAACAAGAGGGAAACTCCATCTCAAAAAAAAAAAAAAAAAAAAAAAAAAAGACATTTCCAAGAATCCAAGTATCTATTTTAAAACAATAACCATCATCAAACAGGAGGAAATGACAGTATAACAGAAATATAAAAAGAATAAACCTGATTTTTGTCATTCAACAATATACTATGAACATTTTTCCACATTAACAAACATGGGTCTATATCTCATATTTAAAACTGAAAAAACAGAAGGTCTCTGGACCTTGTGGCAAAACATCTACATTATCCTTTATTATGAATGAACTGCACACCCCCCCACCTCTAATTCATATATTAAGCCCTAACTCCCAATGTACTGTAAATGGAAATAGGGCCTCTCAAGAGGTAATCATGGTTACCTGAGGTCATAAGGGTGGGGCCCGAATTTGATAGGATTGGAGGATGGTCTTATAAGAAGAGGAAGAGACACCAGAAATCAGTCTCTCTCCTGTTCTCTCCCCTCTCTATGCTCACACAGGGGAAAGGCATGTGAGAACACAGCAGGAAAGGTGACCAAGAAGAGGGCCGCGCCAGGAGCCAAACCCGACGGCACCTCCATCTTGGGCTACTAACACTCCAGAACTGTGAGAAAATAACTTAACAGTCTGCTGTTTAAGCCACCCAACCTGTGGTATAAGAAAATTACAGCAGCCGAGTAGACTAATGTACCACTGAGACAGGAAAAGTACAGTCAGCCTCAACCTTCAACACAGCTACATTTAACACTAGGACACATGAGGCCACACTTAGAGAGTCCTCAAGGGAAGAAGGTACAATCCAAGAATTCTACATCTGACCACATTGTCAATCAAATATGCTACAAAATCAAAATATCTAATGTTTGAGATGATGGATATGCTAATTACCCTGATCCGATACCCACACATTATATGTATCAAAACATCACTGTACCCCATAAATATGCACAATTATTATGTGTCAATTAAAAAAATATAAAATAAAATACTAAGGAGTACCAAACTATAGATCCTTAAACATACAAGAACTTAGAAAATTTCATTCCCATGAGTCAAAATTTATGGGTTCATGAACTATTAGAGGATAAACTTTATCCAATCAAGAAGAATCCACAAAGTCCAGCAAAAGACTTATAGTGAGCAATGAAGCCATTTAAGATGTAGAACTAAAGAGTTTTCTTTGGCCAGGTACAGTGGCTCACGCCTGTAATCCCAGCACTTTGGGGGACTAAGGCAGGTGGATCACTTGAGGTCAGGAGTTGGAAAGCAGCCTGGTCAACATGGTGAAACCCCATCTCTACTAAAAATATAAAAATTAGCTGGGCATGGTGGTGCGCACCTGTAGTCTTAGCTACTCGGGAGGCTGAGGCAGGAGAACTGCTTGAACCCAAGAGGCGGAGGTTGCAACGAGCTGATAATAGCACCACTGCACTCCAGCCTGGGCAACGGAGTGAGACTCGGTCTCAAAAAAATAAAAGACTTTCCTTTTCTGGGAATTACAGAACAGAATGTAAATGTTATAAATTTTAACAGAAAAAAATAATATCAATTTGAGCAGTGTACAAGGAAAGGAGAGAGTATAAAGACACTTGCCTCTTACAGTGGAATCAAAAGGTGTTTTTTAAAACTGACAAAGTATCAGAGGCATTAGTAAACATATAGTTAAAACGTTAACATTGGAATAAGTTTAGTAACATAATTAATCAAAAGCAAGTGGTGAAGGGAAGAAAGGGGAGGCAAGAATATGTGGCAATACCAACCTGGTCACTGATTACAGCAAGAAGGAGACAGTTACCCCTAAACAAATACAGGGTAAATGTATCAAATTATACTAAAATATGTAAAAATAAGACCTTTTAATTATTACTAAGAACACACACCTAATAGAAAGCAAAGAGAAAAACAAGTCTGCAGTTAAAAAATACTAAAACATAAATAAAACACATTAACATGAAGCATAACATTTTTTTTAAATAGTTAAATTAAGACCAAACATATCTGTCACACAGTAGCATGCCATACCAGTCTGGTTAAGAGATCTGAAGTCGGCCGGGCGCGGTGGCTCAAGCCTGTAATCCCAGCACTTTGGGAGGCCAAGGCGGGTGGATCACAAGGTCGAGAGATCGAGACCAACCTGGTCAACATGGTGAAACCCCGTCTCTACTAAAAATACTAAAAATTAGCTGGGCATGGTGGCGTGTGCCTGTAATCCCAGCTACTCAGGAGGCTGAGGCAGGAGAATTGCCTGAACCCAGGAGGCGGAGGTTGCGGTGAGCCGAGATCGCGCCATTGCACTCCAGCCTGGGCAACAAGAGCGAAACTCCGTCTCAAGAAAAAAAAAAAAAAAAAAAAAAAGAGATCTGAAGTCAAACGGACTGGGGTCAAATCCCAGACTTCCACTTTACTAGGCTTAGGAAGTTATTTCCTCTCGCTCTCTCTCTCCCTGAATCTCCTCATGGGTAAAGTGGTGGTAATTAGTACCTAATTCATAGAGTTGGAAAGATTAAAGGCAGTCTAAATAATGTGCTTAGAGCGGTACTGGGCACACAGATGTGTTCAATGGAAGTGAGCTGCTATTACTAAAATTAATAAATGAGAAATTCCACTACTAAAAGTCTTTCAGTTAAAAACAAAATCAAATTACATTCTGAGGTTGAGACCCAACTAAAACAAAGTAGCTCAGAAAGGTAAAAAGTCAACACTGTATCAGAAGATCAATAACAACCTAAATACCCATCACTAAGGAACTAATAAATTATGCTACATTTAGAAAAGGTAACACTTTGCAACAATTTAAAAAAAGAAGTCTATGAAGAAACGATCTCTATGATGAATTGTTAAATGAAAAAGAGAAAGGTATCTCCATTCCATATACATTCTTAAACATCCTTCTGCATCAGCAATTTTCAATAAAAACTTTTTTATTTTGAGACAGATTCTCACTCTGTTACCCAGCCTCGAGTGCAATGGTGCAACCTCAGCTGTCTAGGAGACTCCACCTCCCAGAATTCATGCATTCTCCTGCCTCTGCCTCTGGAGTAGCTAGGATTACAGTCAGGTACTGTCACGCTCAGTTAAATTTTGTATTTTTAATAGAGACAGGGTTCCACTATGTTGGCCAGGCTGGTCTTGAACTCCAGACCTCAAGTGATCCACTCACCTCAACCTCCCAAAGTGCTGGGATTACAGGCATGAGCAACCATGACATGACTAAAACTATTTTTAAACAAGGTGTGGTAGCCGGGTATGTGCCTGTAGTCCCAGCTACTCAAGGAGGCTGAGGCAGGAGGATCACTCCAGCCCAGGAGTTCGAGGCTGTATGACTGCACCTGTGAACAGCCACTGTACTCCAGCCTCGACAACATAGAGCAGGGGTCCCCAAACTTTTTACACAGGGGGCCAGTTCACTGTCCCTCAGACCATTGGAGGGCCGGACTATGCAAGGTGTGACACCCTTCACAGCCAGCGCTGCTGCCTCCACTATCCCAGACAGCGGTATACAGTGTCACAGGCCCAGCACCGCCTCCAGTGCTGTATACAGGGATGGCAGTGAGCAGCCTGTGACACTGTATATACAGCATCCTGGACATCTGCAGCAGCGGTGGGCCTCTTCCGTGGGAAGCCCACTGCTGCATGTTTCCCCTATTATAAGACACCTCCTAAA